CTGCCCAACCTGGGTCACAGGCGTTCCCAATGGATTCAATTTCTCCACCTGGTTTGGTGAAGGTCGGTTTACCAGAATCCTGCCAGCCAGTCCACCAGCATTGAATACATAGAGTGGTTGATGACACTGGGGTGGTTGACTGTGGAGTAGGTGTGGTAGTAGTCACAGTTGTAGTTGGCATGGTTGTTGAGGTGGTAGAGATGATGGGTGGTGAGGTGGTAGAGACGGTGGTTGGTGATGTGGTAGAGATGCCGGGTGGTGAGGTGGTAGAGATGGTCATTGGTGAGGTGGTAGGGATGGTCGTTGGTGACGTGGTAGAGACAGTGGGTGGTAAGGTGGTAGAAATGGTCTTTGGTGACGTGGTAGAGACAGTGGGTGGTGATGTGGTAGAGATGCCGGGTGGTGAGGTGGTAGAGATGGTCGTTGGTGAGGTGGTAGGGATGGTCGTTGGTGATGTGGTAGAGACGCTGGGTGGTGAGGTGGTAGACACGGTTGTTGGTGATGTGGTAGAGACAGTGGGTGGTGATGTGGTAGAGACGCCAGGTGGTGAAGTGGTAGAGATGGTCGTTGGTGATGTGGTAGGGATGGTCATTGGTGATGTGGTAGAGACAGTGGGTGGTGATGTGGTAGAGACACCGGGTGGTGAGGTGGTAGAGGTGGTCGTTGGTGACGTGGTAGAGACGGTAGTTGGTGATGTGGTAGGAATGGTCGTTGGTGATGTGGTAGAGACGGTGGTTGATGAGGTGGTGGCCGGAGTGGTGGTTGGGGAAGTAGGGCACTCATCCATTGGCAGACAACAACTGACACGTATCTCATAGTCATAACAGACTCCGAACAGTCCATTTCCAAACTGGTCCTCGTTATTGCAGATGAACCCAAACGAGGGGCTGCACTGTGCCTTCTGGCCCAGCTGCTCCCAGCTGAGGTGGGGCTCTGTGGCCGACCTGCACTCGATGTCCTCGGGCGCCCTGCAGACGCTGTCGAACGTCTCCCGGTCACCACCGTCACTGCCCTCACTGGGGTGATGCTCATTGATCCAGTCGGACCAGAAGCAGCACAGCTCTAGGGAGGCAAGAGCCAGTCTTGGTCACCATGCCCAGAGCACAGCTCCAGGCATCCCTGGGACTCAGGGACCCCCTCCCATCACCATCGGACCAAGTCGTAGGCTCAGAGAGTTCATGGCTGGCCACCACCTCCTCCCTCCTTTTGCAGCTGAGAAACCGAGGCCTGGAGAGGGAAAAGCCCCCACGCCACACCTGGTGACAGACCCAGGCTCAGAGCTCTAGGCCACTGCCTCTCTGGGCTATTTCCAGATCTTTGTGCCAAAAAATCAATAAATAAGGAAAGGGCCACCCGTTCCTGTGAGGAAGCGTGCTGGAAGGGCTTGGTCTCCCCTCTGGACCAACAGCATCATGACACAGAGTTGTCCAAGCTCCCCTGCACCAGCCCTAAACCCAGGGACCGCGGAACCAAGGCCTCAAATACATCAACTCTCATCCACAAGCTGCCAGCCTGCATCTGGGATTCAGGAGCGCTCCTGGGGGCACTGCTCAGCCTTCCCTCCCCACCTGTCTACCAGGGGGAGGTGCCACCGACGTCCATGTGACTTACTCGGAGTTGTTGACGAAACTGTAATAAAGTGGGAAAAGGAGAAAAAGGGGTTGCCATTATACAGCTGCAAGTTTTTAAAAATCTTTTTTCACTTTCACAAGTTTCTTTTTCCTGTGGCCATCAAAGCCACGGTGGCTCGTTCCATGGCAGCTACGATTTCAACCAGACAACTGCAGAGGGATTTAAGGACATTCCTCTGCGTCCTCTAACCCCCAGGGATATTTTCATGCTGCTTTTGGGAAATGTCCCCAAGCTGCCTTCACCCTCCCTGCGGTCTGGGCTTGGGGATGTGGCCATGATGCTGAGTCCCGGAGCCCAGGGGACATCCGCTGAGTGAGAGGCATGTCAGCATCCTCTCCTGCACAGCAGGGGTGAGAGCCACTAGCAGGGTCACTTCCGAGGGCTCCAGGGAAAGTAGGAGCCACGGGAGGTAAGAGCCTGTAGCTTTGGGAGGCTTACCTGTGCTGGGGATGGTGGTGGTGGTGGTGGTGGTGGTGGGAG